CAACTAAGATAACTTATATGAAGGGTTTTTATATATAATTTATTTGCTGAGTTTCTCTAATTTATTAAAAGTTATTCGTCTGATTAGGCATTACGATATAAGTTTACGCTTTAAATGGATAAAGTATTATTAATGCTCGACCCGTTATTCGCACATAATATGTCGAAGAAAAGAATTGCAACCTTCATATTTTCCGACCAGTGAGCAGCGAGGTAGAAAATATTCCCAGAACGACATAGCGCCGTACCTGCAATAAAACATTTTATCGGTGCAATCGTGTGTGTACACTGTAAAGGCATGCCTATCGCGCTCGGATGATACGTTGGATTGTTTAGATTTTCCAGTTTATTTTTAGCGGTACAAGGGCAATGTTGACTGACCTAAACGTGGAAGTGGGCCACCCCATCTAACCCACTGTGATCTATTGATCACGATGCAAACGGAACGGAAATATTACAACAATGTGCATATTTTCTTTGAAGTTGTCCTCTAACTCAGATTACTTTCGCCTCTTTGATGTACTTTGCGCAGGTTTTGTATTACGTTCTATTTCCATGTCGTACTAACGTTTACCTATTGAATTCTAGTCTTTGAAATGCTGTTTTATAAACTTGATATGAAAATGAATTATATTGCTATGTCGATGCTAGATTTACCCAAAGGCAGAGACTGAATAAGCAAAAAATTATGGTACCTTTAAATTGCAGTATAACGTCAGACCGATAAATAAAGGCTACCTCTTTAATTCGGTATCAAAATTTTTGTTACGTACCGTTATTTTGGATATCAAATGGAAATCGATATATTTCGATACCAGTATCTTAACCATAATAATAAAGGTACGAAGGGCATATTGATTACGTTAGTTCAACTATCCTATTTCTGTCTTCACACTTCACAGGCTCACAGGCGTGTGCTTATCGGTTGCCGCTGATTTGCACTCACAGAAATTTTGTTTTTTTTTTCGTTTACGTCTCGCAACGGTAAATCTAAGTTTTTCGGTACTGACATCGCATAAAGATTAAATAACGATATAGCCTTAGTTTCGATGTAATTCAATCCCTGCCCAAAGGGAAAGTGTAAGTTGTTAGGTAGGTATGTAATAACAAATAATAATCGTATATTTGCAAAAACAGATTATGGTGCTTATAAAATATGCTTGGATTGGCGCCTTCTTTCAAACAATATGCAGCATGCCTGTGTTGTCTGTGACTGTAGGATCTTTCACAACGAGACGTACATAATACATTTTCATGAAAACAAATATACTATTTTGTACTTATACTGTCCTTTGCGACGGCTGGGCTATGACGAGGCAGCGGTTCGCTGCCTCGAGCGCCCCGCCTCCTCCTTAGCATGACTGCTTCGCAAAAGGAGGAGACGGCATCCCAGGTCTCTTCGCTCCGCATCATGGCTCAGACTAGACAATCACATCCCTCTGGGCACGGCGGTACTCAGCCCACGCAGGGACTTACCGCTGCAATGGTAGCGAGCCCAGCCCTCGGTAGCGACAGTCGTTGCTCGCTGCCATTCCGCCATGAGATCGCGGTGGAGCTTTTGCCGCCACACCAATCTGGCGCGGCAGCGAAGTTTTGCTCCAGCGACGCGCGCAAGAACTTTTGCCTCTAGATCTCACGGCGGTAATCCGGCAAGGAGGTTCGCCGCCTCCCCGGAAATCGTGCGGTATCCGCGGATCATTCGGATCGCTGTGACCCTTTGTGACGTGAGCAGCACCCGACTGGGCCGCCGCATCAGGTTCGACGCCCACACAGGGATACGAGTCCCAGGTACTTCATCGTTGTCTCGACGCCGATGGTAACCCCTCCCGCCGTAATTTGGGACTCACCCGGAGGTGGCGCGTTCTCGCGGCCATGACAACACATGGCCTCGGACTTGTGGACCGCCACCTCGGGTCCCTTATTGCCGGATTCTTTCAACGACTGTCGCAACCGCTGTCGCCATCAAATCGGCCGCCACCTGGTGCGACCTCTTGTGCGCTAGCACCAGAGTATCGTCGGCATAGCATATAATGCTAACGCCGCTCGGGAGGTCGGTGTAGTATGTAGCCACACGGACCGCCGACATTAGTGCCAAGACAGATGCAGCAGAGATACGTTTATTCAAAAGTCTTTTGTCATTTTGACATAATTTAATTATTGTATTTCGCAAAATTTAATAAACCGAAAGCTCTTGCTATTTTATGTGTGCTTGTATTATTCAACCAAGTCATGCAGTAATTTAAACTATAATTCATATTGTTTCGTTTCCACGAAAAAAGGGGTTCCCCCTTTCACCTCTTTTGATTTGCACTGAGTTAATATTTACGCAGCGGGATTATCGATTTTTTTTCGATTGTCTTGTTGAGTACCTACATACAACCTATATTGCGATCACCATATTAAATAATACTGTTACTATACTACTACTGTTTTGCTGAAGTATTTTGTCGATGATACCGAAGACGATTCAGCAAAAGTAGGTCATCCGAGTCCAAAAGTATCTCGATAGACAAACTGCATTAGTGAATTAACTAGATCGTTCTAAGGGTTAAACAGTTATGGCAACGCTTTGGATGCCTGCCTTACTCGCTTATTGATATGAAATAAGCCTTTTCCTCAATATTAGGCTGTTAACACGTATACGGCGGCGGCTATGCCGTTGCGGCGTAATATACATTTAAACATCCTGAAGGCCTAATAAAGTCGAAGTTAAATCGTGGCCAGATCAACCGGAAGGTTACCACGGACTTTCAGAAAACTTCCATTAAACAATGGATGCGTTGTGTTTCACCATGTGAGTGAAGTTTCCGGAGGCTAACTATTCCTGCCCTTAAAGGCCGGTAACGTATTTGTAACTCTTCTGGTGTGGCTGGGTCTATATGTACTGCCAAGTGGATTTTATTTCGTTCGGAAAATAGTATGTTATTTTTCTTGTTTGATATTTTGAGTAGTAATATTGTCAAAATTTGATTGGCCAAAAACTTTAATAATACAAACGTAGTCATAATAACAAGTATAGGTATTTCATACATTGATGAAAATGAAAATTTAACCTATATTCCTACAATGAAGTAAGGAACTTACTCCTCTGCACAAAGAGCAAGACTGACGACAATAATGGAGTTTAATAAAAAAATAGCTTTACTAAATATAAAGTCCACGTTCCCAGGTCCATGCAGTCAATATTGCAACAATGCTAATGCACTAACCACTAATATAATTACATACATTTTACCATTTTATCGTCGACTCTTTTGCAAGTGAGCTGATCTGTATACCAGTAGAAAGCACGGTACAGAAGAATGAGGTGTAGGTCAGAACTCAGAAGTCCGATCAACCATTTCTTTGGAATGGCGTGACCCAACTCACAGCACCAGTAATTTGTGCTAGTACTAAGGAGAATTTCCATAGCTTTACAGAAATTTAATCGGATTATATTTTTACGGGGAAAATAATGGTATTGAGCGTTGTAAGTATTCGATGGTACATTCAGAATATTAAATGAAAATCTTTTATTGGTAGGTTTTTCCAAATTACTTAATAATTTCTTTGTAGTTCAGAGTGGAGAACGTCTGAAGGGCAAATTATTTTAGTAACTTATTATAGCTAAATTATTTATTTGAAGGTACTTCAGACAGAGTGGCAACGCCCGCAGATTTTTGCGCGCCTGTACACACCTGTCTTGTAGTAGGGGAGCCCACGATGCTAAATTTGGATTTACTTGAGCGTCGTTGGGACCTACTGGATTTTGAAGATATGCTGATAGAAAGAAAAAATGGTTTAGTGACAATTTCTTCCACCGGTGGGGGAAGGGGGAAACCACAGATCTTTGAAATTGTTAAGCGTAACTTTTGTTCTAGTGGTCGAGCGTGTCAGATATTGATAGTGTACATGCTCCATATGTATTTAATAATAAAAAACTCTTAATCTGCCAGTTTGCATGGTGGGGTTGAATGTTTTGGAGAGTACAAACGAGAACCCTTCAAAATCGCCCCACTCTTGCAAATCAAGTTGGAATGGGCAGATCTTTTAAACGCACTTCCTTTAGCATGGTACTGACCTACCTTCCCTTAAACTGTCAAACACCAAGCGGTCACCGGTGACTGCGACCTATTGTGTTCTTTAATTGTGTCTATAAAACCGGTACTCGACGAGTTAATCTGACGAAACTGACTTTATTTAGTCAGATTTTTTTTTATTTTTAGTCCCCCCTTCTAATCAGGTCGGATATATGGTGGGTATATTCAACATGACACTAGGTTTTCCCCATATGTTAATCTGACGCGCTCGAGTAACTACCGAAATCCCTTCATGGGCTCCCCTACTATTGGAAGTACATGTTGAAAACACGAGTTGGAACAAAGTATAGTCCGGTTTAATTATAAAATTCGCAATGAGACAACCAAATGTGTATCATGTGTATGCCACCCGAGACTTCAACCATGTTTGAAATTCCTGAAGTACCTAACATAAATTGTCTAAAAATGTACTCTGTGAGAGGATGGCTCAAAAGCGATCGAAGCGCCCCACTCGGTGGAGAGGGGAACTGTTGACCTCGTTTAGCTTTGTTAATTTTATTTTTCATGTTTCTGCGTAATAACCTTTGATATTTCATATTTGCTAATAAAACAGTGCACATTTTAACAGTTTTTTAGTGTAGTTATTTAGAAAAGTGGTCTCTATTGCTACATAAGTACTGTCTTTCATTTTGTTTCTATGCGAGGTTTCATAATAAATATGTAATGACCTGTACGACCTATTAAAACTCTCTTTATACCGTGTTCGTAGACATTGGAAATTAAAAACTATATATAGATCCATATAATTCTTTTTACCGTCAGAGGGGTAGAGGGGTGAGGGGGTAAGATTTTCGTAACAAAATTCTCAGTACCATTTCACCCGGTCTCAGTGATGGTTCCCATCCCTGTTTCGTTTAAGTGTTACCTACTTATTGGATTTTTTTATTTTTAGTTACTTAGTACGTTCTACTCCTTGTTACAGGAAGGTACTGCTGCGTCGTTACCCAAGTCAGAGCACCTCGCGTTGAGACCTGAGAATCTTGACATACTGGTGAGTACATTTTTTAGTTTTTACTTTTAAATCTTTTTTACTTATTAGTATTTTATTAACACTTTGGTTAATTTTTATTGGAGCTAATTAAATCGATTTCTTTTGACATAGGTTTACTTTACGTGCTTTTTACTGTCTCTTATTTTCAATTTACATTTTCCTTCGCGTAACCAGTGGTGCTTTATCTACTTCACTACCCTCTTCTTCCAGTTGTATTATGTACTTAGTAGTCTTGCTTGTGACTTCATAGTTACGGGGTAAGCAGAGATGGACTTATTGAATACTGGTACGGGTTGAACACTAATCTTGGAAATATTTGTGCTTGACTAGTGATTCCGTGGGTTTAGTTTAGGGCGTGGCTGGGAGGCTCAATTGTATTAGATCCAAAGCTTGCAGATGTGGGGGGCAGATTTGTGGGGGAGGTGGGGGGTGTTACACAAGGTGTTATAAAATAAATGTAGAATCTTACAGGTGCTGGACCAGACCACCAAAATAAACAATATAAAAAAGTTGTGTTGTAGAAAGTGCATATTTTCTTTCTTTACTTACATAGTTCTCTGGATTTGTGATCCGCTTTCATACGTTTTCCGAGTAACAGCAAAGAGACTGGATTTGCGTGGTGTGGGCTTGTCTCTTATCACAAAAGGGCTTATAACACATGATATAAGCATATACACGTGGATTTAGTATGTGTGGTCCTAATCTTATTTACGTGATTTCCATGGTTTGTTTTTGTTTCTGTTTTTCAGAAAAGCACGACTGATTTTAGCCGAAGTTTACTCGAGGAATTGGACATTATGTTCAAGAACCTCGAGTCAAAAAAGGAGGAATCAGTAAGTGTTTTTCTTTTTGTTTTTTATTATTTATTTTTTATTTGTTTTTTTTTTATTATTTTTTATATTTGTTTTTAATTTAGTTTTTATTATTTTCGGTTCACCTACTCAAGACTTCTTACAGATAATAATATGTACATATACAAAATCATAAAAACAAATGTATTGTTTTTCTTAGTATTTTTTCTTAAGTGCACCGTATTCTTCAAGGCGTTGCGATATAATATTTCTCTGTTAGCAAAACAATTCCATAACAATGCGAACAAATTGACGTCAAAGTGGTTTTCTACTTTGTGTGGGTTCTAAATCGTTTTAAAACTTGTTTTATTTCAACTTTATAATGAAAATCCTTCAAGTAAATCAGACTTGAATTAACGACGAATGGTATTCTCTACCAATCATCTTTACGCAGTCGTTTTTAAATACACATGGATGATTCAGTAACTGAAAAGTATAGTAGAAAGGATTCTAATATTTTACTTTTAACATAGTGTACTGAATTATTATGCACTATTTTTATAGTTACTTTATGAAAATGCACTGAGCCGGAACCGTTATTGGAAAACGGCATAACGTCTCACTGAGTACTGGATTTGCGCATTTGCACGTAAATTCTAACGTAGCGTAGGACAAATTGGAATACTCGTGTATTCCGTAATACATCAACAGAAGCTGAGGCGAAATGTCATGAAACATACGCATAACGTGCATATAGTAGTCTACATAGATTGAGGCACTATATTTACTGCAATTTTTTAAACGAAGTCAATATTAACTATTGTTCCACTAATATATCTAATGGGAGCTAGCGGGGAAACACATTGCTTGATTGTTTAAAAAACTATTGTGTGAATTACAAGCATAATAGAATATGTTACGTGGATACGTGGCTACATGTGGGCGGAATGCAATGTATTCATTTAAATTCACGGCCGGGAAACTTAATGAAGGATTTGTAGTGTCAAATTAAATCTACATATGCGATTGTGCGTGCGTGTTGCCAGCCGACTGTGCACTTTCGAAAGTACTTCAACATTTCCGACCACGTCCCTAAATTCAATTTATTTGGTAGTACGTGGACGTACATTTCCAACAACCTCTGTAATATCCGACTGCGACCTCGACTAATAATTGCTCTTTTGTGGATGATTCCATGTTATTTAGAACATGCTGCAATTTTACATTTAATATTTATTACGTCACTGATATTTTATGTCATTATGTAAGTACGAGTTGGGAGATTAAGTTTTGGAATAATATTAGTTATTAAGCCAGTCCATTGTTGCATTGAAATGATAAAAATATTTTTCAACTTTGGCTTTGCTTATTTGTCTTTACTCACAGCGAAATCATATACGATCACTATATATAAATTGAAGTATTAAAAAACTATCCTGTTTTATATTCATCTGCTAGCTGCCTTTGCTTACCAAGACAAGTATGGTAAGCAAGTTAAGGTACTGTTCCCTTCAAGTGTATGACGGATGAACCTATTTGTCATCAATGTAACTTTACCACGTCATGCGCGTGACACCTTCGCGAATGATCTTTACTTAAGTAAATCGGTTTAGCTACACAGTTCACTTCAGTATATAAAGTAATTCAGCTTTTTATTAGAAGTTAAGAAGATTAAGATCTTAATCTTATTATTATTTCTTTTATTTTAATTTATTATAATAAAAGAGCCTGTATTTTTCTCAAGACTCTGTACAAAATTTGTTTATAAGTATTTATTAACTAAATTCTTTGTTTGCATTGTATTTAGTCAGCGAGCAACCTTTTGCTAGTAAAGGTCTCCTCCAAGTTTTGCTCATCGTCTCTTGACTTCGCAGTTTGTATTCAGTTGGATCCAGCTATTTGTTCGCCTTCCAATCTTTTACAAGGTAGACCTTGGAAAAAAAGAGGTAGACCTCTTTTTCGTTCGCCTGCCGTACCTTTCCACGTAGTGATGCTTTTAGTCCATCTTTGGCCTTGAAGGCGTGCTACGTGTCCGACCCATTTCCCTTTCAGTGATAGAGCTTGTGTCAAATCGTCTGCTTTGGTGGTGTTTGTAATTTGGGCTTGAATTTCATTAAAGTAAGTCACCCCCTCAATCTTATGTAATTGTGGAGACTTGCCGCTGTTGGGACCCATAGCGGGCGAACTCTCACATTAGTTGATAGTGGCGATATTAGGTTCCTGATTTAGAGCTAGTTTTGAGATTACTGACGATTACCGACTGCCTCGTTGGCCGAGTGGTCGCAAGTGCGACTGCCAGGCAAGGGGTTTCGGGTTCGATTCCCGGGTCGGGCAAAGTATTACTGGGTTTTTAAAAAATCTCAGTAGTAGCACGGAGTCTGGAATTGTGCCCGGTATATGGCAATAGGCTCACCCCCTATTACATGGGACTCATAACATAAATAGTGAAAAGTAGGTGTTACATTATACAGTGGCATAATGTGCACCTCTGCCTACCCCTTCGGGGATAAAAAGGCGTGATGTTATGTTATGTTATGTTTTGAGATTACTTTATGCCTTCGGTTCGATTTTTTTCTTATATATATTAAGTTTATATGGAGTGATATTTTAGCTAAACCTTGTTTATTTATAAATATTTTTATCAAATTTGCTTTAGCAGGAAATATCTTTCAGAAAGCCGAAGTTGCTCAGAACTTAGACTTAAACTTAAACTTTAACATCGTTTAGATATCTGCTTTTAAGATTGCATCTTAATAGTTTAGAAAGTTTATTAATAGTTTCTGGAATTTCTAGCTGAAGTTTATAGTTTGTGGAACCATAGTTGGTATTAACTTTCATATAGGAAACTGCATTATAGTGCATCGATCTTATGTTTACGGCTAATTCAAAATAAATGAAACAAATAGTACTTTATTTCTTTAACTTTAATAAACCTAAACCAAAGGTATTATGATGAAATACATGTATATTTCTAAAATGATGTGTTTTAAAATGACCATTAGTTTATTTTAAGATGTAGTTAGTTTTGAATGTTGTGGTGGCCTGGAGGCTTAAGACGCCCGCTTCTCATGTATGACAGTGCGGATTGTAGGCCTACCAACGGCAAGTGACTTTTCCGAGTTATATGTAGGTACTTTCAACGTAAGGAAATTTGGGCTTCAACTTCTTATTATAAGTTTGTTATCGCCAACCCGCATTGAACAAGCGTGGTGATTATTGTTCAAACCTTCTGTGTGTAGGACGAGGCCTTTAGTAGTAGACCAGTAGCCACTTATAAGCTGTTGATGAGAAGTGTGAGACATTGCTTTAATACTTTTTGTATTAACCCATTAAAGGTCAAATAAAAAGTACCAATATTTTTTTTAATTTTGTTTATTTTCGTAATCAACTGAGAGTACAAGAACAGTAAATGCGAGAAAAAAATGGAAAATTGTATTTTTCATGATAATGGGGATGATGACAGGGTATGAAAATTAAAAATATAATTAGTCCGTAAGTTAGGTAATGAAAAAATATTAGACACGTATTTTTTTATTTTGTCGTATAATAAAACAATACTTATATAAAACGAATCAAAGTTTAGGAGTGGGGGCTAAAACGTCATTCCTTAGTATAAAATGTACTGAGAAGTGACGTCACGCGACATTTCAAATCAATATATCTTCGAAACTATTCGTTTCTGTGAGAAAATAAAAAATACGTGTCTAATGTTTTTAAATAATCTATCAGACGGACATTAAAATAAAAATTAGTCGTCTACCCCATTCAGGGGTGTACTCAATTGAGTACACTGACCACCTAAGTATGAAAATTTTCAAAACACGATATTTCTACATAAAGTGTTTTAGCACTTTTTACATTGCCAACGTAGGTACTCTTGAATGACAAAAGATACATCGTAGTAGCTTTTAAATTTTTAGTGGATAGTGTCCAACTCCATTTTGCAGGATTGCACATTTCCGCCACGTAGGGTTTGATTTTGAAGTAGATTGGCGGGCAATGTAAATAATGTGAAAAAAATATCGCACTACCCTCATATAATTTATCAATATAGTTAGACAATTTAATAAGGAATTAAAATAATAGGGTTACCCTACAAAAATATAAGAGATATTAAGTTTATGCGTAGAATTTTAGGTGTACTCATATGAGTACAGTGACTTCTAATGGGTTAACAACCTATTTGGTCAGTAGTCCTAGTCATTAGTAAGCTCATGTAACACCCGCGGGATGAGAAGTAATGACAAATGTATTATATCTGTTACTACACGGCTAGCTTAGAATAGACCTTTCTCTTTTTTTAACATCACTGTGACATTTCATAGCGTGTTTCGAAGTATTGAATATTGCAATTTTGGAGTAGTTCGAATACCATCTTTCTATTTTGCTTACTGTCCTCTGTATAACTTTTTTTTAATAATTAATAAATTGAATTTCTCCACGGACTCGTGTCCGTGCCCTTGTCATGTTACAAGTACATAATTGTCATGGTCAAATATTTTTTTTTTTATAAATATCTTACATGCTACGCCTACCACTATCACACACACAATACTTTACTGTATAACTTAGAATAGTTAGTCAGAAGTGATCAATTCTAACCTTTCGTGGGGAGAACAGGTCGAGATCGTAAAGTTCATTTTTCTTTCCATTTGCTGAAGTGTCTCCTGTTCTGCTGCTGAAAACCACCTAAAGCAGTCTCTGATCTGTTCTTTGATCGACTATACTGACGCTTGGTATTTGGATGCCACTGAGAAGCTTCTAAATGAACTTGAGCGATTGCAAAATGTATACGCCTTGTCTTTGGTTTAAATAAGTATGATCATGTCTCTGAATTTCGCGAAAGTGCTTCCCAATCCGACTTTAACGGAAAACTCGCATCTTATGTCTACTTTTCCATATTCTAATCCTGACTATCCCTTGTTACATTCGCGAACGTTTTTCCTTTGTTCGCCCTCCTGAGGTTCTTTCCCGATCTCATCTTTAATCTAATCCTTTTGTTGTCTCACACAATACTGAGTTTTACTGGTTACTTCTACTTTGTTACGTTGTGTTTTTATTGTTTTTCCTGTCTAAAGACTGCAGAGGAGATTTCTGGAACGGGAATATGCAGTACCTTTGTACCTCCAAGCTGTTTATATATATATATATATGTTATAAATAAATGTGTCAGGAACAGACAAAGAAAAATAAGGTAGGAAATTTAGGGTTGAACAAGGAACTTCTGATAGTTGCTAAGAAAATATTTTGACTGAAGCAATCATTAGTAGCGTTTCATTAAAAATGTTAAAAATAGTACATTTTGAGTTCTATATTATCTTGAGTATCTTTTTTTATACTTGATAGGTTGACGGATTTGAACTAACTAACAACCACCTCGTTCCTACTGCTGCACTTCGAGCCGGAACCCCGGCAACCCGAAGTTCTCTGTGGTTCCGTATCGGCATCAGCCCTATTGGGTCCCATCTGTGATGGTCTGATGGCCGTTATCTTTCTGGTTCGAGTTCGAGTCTGGTTCTGATCGGGCGGCGAGTTACCCGTGGTTACGCTGGTCGGAGATCGTCTCGCGATCTCCGACAACCGGAGTGTCTCTGGCAACGGCTGAGGCGTAAGGAGTTTCGCGCACTCCGCCTCCTCCTTAGCTAGCATGACTGCTTCGCAAAAAGAGAAGACGTCATCACTGTCCCCCTCGCTCCGGTCTGAACCAGAGAAGGGGACGCTAGAGGTCGCCATCGCCGATCACATCCCTGAGGACTCGGCGGTGCTCGGCAGGCTACGCAGGCACACCGCCACCGTATCCTCCGGGCCGTCCTCGCAGCATGACACCTGGGCGTTTCCTCCCGCTCATTCAGGCGGTAGTTGAGGACGATATAGTGTCTGTCAAGTCTGTCAAGACAGCGAGCTCAGACTTCGGTTACGCCAGTTGTTGCTGCCATCCCGCATTGAGATCGCGCCGGGGCTCATCGCAACACGCACTAATCTAACGTGAAAGCAGAGTTTTAGTGCCTCCGCGCGCGAATATTTTCACTATCAGAACCCACGCCGGTAATCTGGCAACGAGGTTTGCCGCCTCCCTGGAAATCGTGTGATAACCACGGATTATAAGGTTGGCTATGATCCTCTGGGACATCAAGAGCGCCCGAGCGGGCCGCCACATCCACGCGTACAACCTCCGGCAGGAGGAGTTTGGCCCCCGAAGTTGGATAGGAGGCGCTTAAATGCTGCCCTCGTCTGTTCCAACTTAGGAGCCAAACGTCAGAAGTGCTCCATGAAGTTCCACCGACTGTCGAGGAGGAGTCCTAGGCACTTCGTCGTCGTCTCGACTTGATGGTAACCTCTCCTGCCAATATTTGGAACTCACCTCCGGGAGACTCTTGGACTCATGGACTCGAACTTGTGGAGCGCCACCTTGAGTCCCAGTTGCCGGATCCTTGCACACCTTGCAATTGAGTTGGGAATTAAATGAAGTTATTAACTTATCAAACTAATGTAATGTTATTTCCTTTTATTTTCAGAGTACACCATCTAGACAACCTGAACCCAGTACGAGGTAAATATCTAAATTACTATCTTTTATATATTATAGCAATACTAATAATGGAACAGGTAACTTTTCGTTAAAAGTTATAATACAAAATGGCGATAACCGCTGTCAGTTCGCGGTCCTCGAGCTTATAGCATGTTTGTTGATGCTATGAAATCGTATCTGTATGAACGAGCTTCGCTCGGTGTTAATTTAGTACATATAGACAAACAAAAAATATAATTTCTGAAAATCAACATAGCTAGTTCGATTTATCACCCCCGAAACCCCGTTTAATACAAAATTTCAAGAAAATCGTTGGATCGGAAACGATTCTTTTGCGTTTGAATAATTTGTTGCCTCCCGTCCAGCTGATTTCTTCATGATTAAACTTCCACTGCGTTGGCAAAGATGCATTGATTGCATGGGTGATTACTTCGATTAATACAAATTAAAAATAAATGTACACAATATTCGTATAATCTACTATATAAAAATAAGTCGGGTTTTCCTCCCTAACGCTATAACTCCAGAACGCACGAACCGATTTCCACGGTTTAGCATTCGTTGAAAAGGTCTCGGGCGCCGTAAGGTTTATAGCAAAGAAAATTCACTTTTAATCACCAAACGAAATGTTACATAAAACGAAGTAATCTGGTGGCGAAACGGAGTTCGCCGGGTTTGCTAGTTTTTTTCATAAAAATCGGTAATTTCATAGGTAAAGCCCTAATATACAAAAATTGCTCGTTTAAAGGTATTACTGGATATATAGTATATCATACGACATAAGATTTAATGTTGAAATTTAAATGACAAAATAATAGCTGGGTTGGGATAGTGCCGTGGTCAAATGCTTTTGTTTCTTACGAAATATCGATATAAAAGAATTGAACTACAGTTAAATAATATTCTTTATTGCAAGCAGCTCTGGTATAACTGACTATATGCGACCGTAAGTATTTCGATAAACATTTAAAAAAAAATTATATATCGACCATCTCGATCGCTTATGATGGAATCACATAACCGTGGCACAGTGTGTCGTGGCGCCAAAGAAGTATATAGGTCTCAAATTCAAATTCAAATTACTTTATTTGTAGAACACGGGTTACAAAAGATGTTACAAACTTTACATTGACCAGCTATGTCTTGCCACCAACGGCGTACAAATATATTAAATTAATTTACCATTTATTAATTATACAAAGATTTCAATAGTCAGACTTGTCATTAAATTAAATTAAAATATAGGGTCTCGTACACTTACTGTGTCGTGGTGGCCCGGGGAGTTTTAATACTTGGCTTGGCTGACTTTACATGCATGAGGGTTCGAAATCTACTAACGCCAAGTGCCAATGTGACTTTTTTCGAGATTCTGAGATTATTTAGACACCACTAGCAAACTGTGAAGGAAAACATGGAAGCCTACCAGATGTACTGGTAATTTATAATTATAAGTTTGAAATCGTGGTGACAGCCAGTGTGGTGACTAATGCTCAAACAATCTCCGTGTGAGAATAGGCTTTTGATCAACAGTGGGCATTTGTAGGCCGTTGATGACGATGATGATGACATTTATGGTTAGAGGCATACTTATGTCTTATGTATGTCTTCGTTTCCAAATACTTGCAGCCGATTGGAGGCCACGGTGCCACGACATGCCATGCCATAGTATTGTGTTCCTGCCTTAAAACTGACTCGTATATTTTGATTCCATGCAAAGATTTCGAAGATACCAACGTATCCCGGACGAGGAAAGACCGTATGTAACTCCTGAATGAATGTGCCTGACCAAGCAAAGTATTGCAACATACTTTTCTTGATCAAAATGTTATATTTAATAAGTGTCTAGTCAAAAAATGCGCTGTACTATAATATAAACATTTTGGAACTGTTTCTAAGATAATTTTAAGAGAAACCACATTTTTTGATATGTGCGTTATGCATCACTGTTGTAATGCTATTGGTGTATTTCTTTTTTATATTTATACGCAATAAATGTATAATTTTGGATCGAACAAGGCGTTGGCTGTGTGTTTTTATTACTTTATATTCTAAGCATTGATACTGTATTTTTTTGTTAAAGGGCTGTTCCTAGATTATGTAGTTTTTCCAATTGATGTTAATATAAATGTGTATTTATTGTTAATGATATTGAACTTTTGTATGGTATGTTATATGTTTTTTCGTTCGCTGATGAAATGATTAGAGCTTTCACCCCGCGGATTCCTGTACTTCTGTTTCTGCGCTATTGGGTACTTTTTGTTTAGCTACTCTCTACTACAACTATTACTCTATCTTCCTGCCAAGTTCCAACGTGAAAGGTGAAATATTTTACAATGTATTCCGTACAATCTATGAGTAAGTGAAATTTGAGTATATTATTTCTATTGTAATATTACAACCTTTGTTTCAAGTGAATGTTATAGTCGTCAACTTAATCCAATGTGTAATTTTCTTCATTGGGTATTCGACTTCATGTCAAAACTATAAAGTAGAAAATTGAATACAGAAATTTGACTGACGTTGACGTGCTGGCCGATGGACAACGGAAGAAGAAAATGCACTCATCATGCTCATTAACAGCTTTTTGGTAAAATCAAAAGTTGTATAACCATATTATGTATTGGGTGTGGCCAATTTCGCATGTAACTGAACATTGATAAAGGTTGTATAGTTTTCTAATATTCTATTTATGAAATATTATTTCATATCTCATTTGCACTCATTTATTAATGCTTGACATAGTTTGAGTGCAAATATGCAACATTGTTGAGTAAAATTCTTGTGCAATTTGAATTTTATAAAAACAGAACACATTTTTCACCTGTATCCGTTGTTGGACTCCTATGTTAAAATATATAATTATGCTTTATTTGTTAGCGCTTTGGATTGAATAGTTTGGCTGTTATGATAGTTCTTACTTCAAATTTTGTGATAGACAATAACGTGTGTGTCTATTTTTTACGGCCAGTGCACGTAGCCGACGTCCCAGATCTGTTTCTGAAACAGAAATGCAGCGACCGAGGTAAAAAAAAGAAATTAAGTAATTAGTTATTTAGATACAATATGGTTACATATTGATATTTGTTTTGTTTGAAACAGTTCCGACATGGACCACCAGGAACCGTCCACGTCGCAAGGCGCTATGTATGTAAACCTCTCACATAAGTGTTCTTTTCCTATGTTTGTCATGTCTATGATTTCATAAAGATTTTTTCCCTGCCATATAGGTTTTGACTGAAATGTCTCAATTCTCAATATTATGTAGCTGCAGCTGTAGCCCAATGCCATTTAGCGCTTGTCTGCTTGTAGAATAGAAAAACAAATTATATGGAATTACCGTAAATTTTGACATTTGTCGGTGTCATTCCCATACATAAATGTATGTAATGTTTTCTACTTTCTCTGTAGACAAGCGCTAAATTGGCGTTTGGTTAAAGACACTGTATACGATTGTGTTCTAATAACAAACCATCCTGTATATTAAATTTTATGATTGCTATAGAATTTACCTTTTCAGAGATAGTATCTCCATCTACACTATTTATTATTTTAGTTGCTTTACGAAACTTGATGTACTAGAACTGTAATTTTACATTTACAAGAGTAATAGACTATCGCCCGAATACTGAAAGGTTTACTCAATTTTAAGTTGTACTTTAAGAATATTTTGCCTTGTCCGTCATTTTATAAAGTTTTTTTTAGTAACAGAACTTAAGCGCGACTTAAAATTAGGTAGCCTTCCAGTATTTGGGTGAATAGAACTCAAATTGTATTTTTTTTACATGCAGCTCTCGTCTAAGGGAAAATCAAAGACTTTTAAGTCCGTACGTATTTATAAATTAAATAGCCTATATCTACATAATTGGGTAGTTTCCAAATTGTCCAATTAAATGTTTATTTCTTTTTTACAACGACTATTTTCTGTGAATAGTAACTTATATTTTGCTAAAAAATATACGTTCAAATCGATTAAGATCTATAGTTAGTTTATTAATATTTATAGGTAAAAAATTGCCTTGAGACCGCCCATTGCACTTAAAATTCTATTATTATAATGCAACTAATAAGTTTCTATATGTGTGCAATAAACTATAAATAAATAAGGATAGTTTTTGTCATTATTGTGTATTATATTGCTGTTCCATTATAATTAGGTAATGTTACCATTACCCTTGCTACTTAATACAGTTTTTAATTTAAACTCTATATCAAAGTTGTTAACACTTATTTTTGTTGGACGCTGCTCTAAAGGACGTCGTCCGATACTTCGGAGGACGAAAGCCAAGACGAGTATGTACTTAATCGGTATATTGTACTAAATAATAATGATTTATATGTATTTGAAAACCAATTTTTTAAGTATAGTATAATAGAAATATTTGCCGCTGTTTTACTATAAGTTTTTATTTAAACTGTATATCACCTTCACATGATAAAACAGTAGGAACAAGATTTTGGTCAGAATGCCTTTGAATGATATTAAATACCTACTAATTTAGAAACTATTTGGTCACCTAAAATTATGTTCCTGTGAAATAATATTAGTCATAATATTGTATGTTTAACCTTCAACTATACAGTCTATAACAATGCTAAAACTCTTTCAAAGATATTTGGTAAATATGCCAATAGATAGCGCTGTACACATGCTCAACAATATTTCATATGAAATTGAAAATACCGTAAAACAAAATTAACGAATATTTATGAGTATAGTGTAAAAGCTTTTGTTTATTATATAAACTATGTTATTTATGTATTAGTATGTAAGCAGTAATAAATAAAGAAATATGTTTTGTTTTACAGACCACATACACTCACTAAAAGCGAACGCAAGAAAGGATTCTCTACTACTACGATGAAGCCGATGTCGGCTCACGACGAGAGAAACCTAGATACGGCCATTGCGTTGGCGAACGAGATTACTTCGAAGTAAGTATTTTGTTTAAATGTAACTTATACATATTTAATAAATTAAATTGTACAAAAACGCTTCATAAGTTTTTTTATGAAATAACATCGCTTTTTAAACATGTAATGTTAAATTTTTACATTAGCTGCGCGCTTGGCGCAATGGCAAGTCAACTGGCTACTAAGCGACTGGTTGCGAATTTGTTTAATTTAATGTATTTCAGGTGTGATGTGTTTGTAAATTTGTATCAATGTGAACATAAGATGAAATAGTAGTGTGGGCAACGTTTTTTTTTTAAATAACTACAATATATCCCTAATCAAGAAATTTTTTTTAACTTTCAATCTCCAAGGGGTCACCGGTGACCGCTCTCCACCAACTCCGTTATTGACCTTATTTCCGATATTTAGAGACTACTTTTGTGTGAACAAATTTACGGTACGATATATCAACGTATCGTCGCTTAAATAGTTTAAATAGTAATTATTTGCAATATAGTTTTTAAAGCCCCAATACCTACTACATTACGAAATGTAGCAAATGACTAGTTACGTATTAAAGATTCGGTAAATAATATAATCTGATGTACGTGCACTAAAATGGACTGAATATTACTTGGATATTGTTAAAGTGTGTGGTATAATAATATAACTTCAAATTGACTATAAATTGTTTCTATAGATCCATGAACGACTTGGAAGATAAAAACTCACAGTCACCGAGCGAAAGGAAGTTTCACTTTCGTTTCGGGCGATCTGCACATCACAGTCACACTCATGACCCTGAGAGAGAACAGTCAACAGGTAATGATATTATAAATAATACATTAGTCTTCTCGAACTATAGTCGCGAAATCACGGCAAAAGATATCTTCTGCTAGTATACTTTTGCTGCAAACAGATCTTGCGTTCAAAAGTGGACTAGCCATTATCCCCATATTTGGGGAACGGTTTAGGATCACCGATAATTTTAAGGATGTTCCAGCTCGTTTCTCTGCATCTGGTCGCTATTTTGGGGTGTACTTGTGTATGCTGGTACATCATCGGCAAGGTCTTTACTGCTTCCGAGTAATGGTAATACTTGACTTGTCGAAACTGATTGATAGTTCTTGTTCTTTTAGGTAATATCAGTGTGTATGTTAGCTTGTTTTTGTTTTATGTCAGAGGTCCACCCAGCATTGCTCGCATACATTTTCCGATGTTCTAATTTTTTTAACACGTACTATTTTCTCCAATGCGGTGTAGCCATTTCGAGATTTATATGTGTATATAGACATTTTGGTGACCCGTTTTTATTAATGTTCATGTAAATCAAGTCTGCAACTCTTTGCGATATTCTTCTCCGTCTCAAGTGGCATACTATTAATAAAAATATGGAAAAATTAGCTCAAAATGTAGTGATTGATGTCACATTGAAATTCAAATTCAAAGTTTTTATTTCAGATAAAATATTTATGTTAGTAGTAGTACAACTTAGCCTAATGTTAGTAAATTATAATAATAATAAACAATCAATAAAGCCATTGCACGAGCAGTTCAATAGCTCAATAGTTCATTGGTTTTTTGGATAAGTGAGTCTGGACATTTATCCACCTACGTAACAGGGGAGAGTCCCACCGGTCAACGAACACACTGAGCTGGTCACCGGTCACCGGTCAGAAATAAGCTGGTTACAAAAAATACCTTTTGGCTTCTTAAAACATTGACTTGAGTTAGTTAATTATCGCGTTTCTTGATTTATTTCCTTGTTTCGTTATTAATTTATATTGATTAGAATGCGTAAGTACCTTTCAAATGAAGATTTTATAGTAGGACGATCTTGTTCAAATATATTTTGTAACTTGCAGTCCAAATCTTGAAGGATGGCGTAAAAGCCTTGATATTCTGCGGTAAGTCGTTAAAACATAGAGATCTGTTTTATGTCATGTCTCGTGGGCTGGCTCAATCATTTCATTGGAAATGCATTATAATTATTTCGAATTGGCCAATAAAACATTTATTTTTCAAGGAAATTGAATTATTGAATTGGATATGAATGGTTGTTGAAGAAAAAGGACATACCTATATTAAACATTGTTTATTGTTTAATGACTATTTTGTTTAACAACTTATTCATTCCTAAACTGAAGTCAAAATTGTTATAATCATCATATATATAATATTTGCTATAGTATGTTTGTTCGCTCATCACTCTATTAGATAAATGTGTCCGTAGAAAATGATCGATGTTGGCTTTTGTAATCATATCATACAACCAATGTTGCAACGGCAATAAACAACTTTCTCGATACATTTATTTTATTCGCATTCATCCAACAAATATCATTGATTTTATTTGCAAAGAAATTTCGATAGTATCATGTTATTGAATAGGGTAGTTGCCAGGGTGAGAAAATTAAAAATCTAATTAGTCCGTCAGTTAGATAATGAAAAAATATTATATACGTATTTTTTATTTTCTCGTACAATACTTACATTATAGTGAGAAATTTAGGCGTTAGAGGGCGTTATATAGATATATTTCAAATTAATATATCATCGAAAGTATTTAATTTTATGGGTAAATAAAAACCACATATCTTATGTTTTAAATTAATCTACCAGACGCCCGTCTAAAACATAAAATAAAATGTAGGGAACTACCCTATTCCAAAGAACTAAACATAAATGTAACGCCCACTTTATTTAATTAGGTGACTAGATAGAAGTGAAGTTACAGTTGATACAGAATATTATATCATAATATCGTGTTCCTTGCATTTAGCTTTAGAGCCACATTCAATAAATTTGTGCAAGCTAAATATAAATAGGTAATAGTTATTGAACAAGTCCCCAGTACCGCAGAAGTTCTCAGTTCTAAGTTGTTCATGACTAATATATTTCTTCCTCAATATATTTCCGTAGCTTTGTTATTCAATGTTCTTATTTATTGATACAATTGGCATAAGTTGGCATATCTTGTTATAAGTTTCAAAATTTAAATGGTTAATTTTTTTTGCAAAGTTCTATAAACCACTTTTCTATATTTATTTATTACCGCTGCGTTATTTTAATTCGCGAACATGGTGAGTTTCAGAAGCGTTTTCTTTTTCGATTAGCTCGATCCTTTTTTCGATCAATAGATGTTTCCTTTGATAATAGACTTTTGTATATCTTGCGTTGGAGAATTTGAATCATATGTAGTAGTAATTAGGCATGAATTTGCCTGCCATCTCTGAATATGGATAATTAAATTATTTTCCACATTCATAGGTATTTACATCATAGGTAGTTACAATATGTTTTTGCGTTTTGTTTCTCCTTAGTTGTTGTTCTCGGTTCATTGAAATGCTCCTTACAGATTTTTGAAGCTTTTATGCCTATCAAACCAATACTGGTATATTGAAAACAGTTAATATGACACACATCAAACCTTTTATTTGCAGAGGCAGAATATTTTCTGCAGAATTATTGTACTCACCTTATACGAAAAGGGGATGACTTGTCATAATTTCTGTGTCAATCTGGTTTGATGGCTAGCAGTGTTGTATTGTTAAGCGCTAATTCTAGTGTAGTATGCTCCTCAGTAGTATAAACTACTATGTTAGTATCTGTTGTATGTAGTTTTGCGGCTGCTATAGGTCTTACAGTATTCTACATCACGGATATGGGGTAAGTTTCTAGATTAAGTAAAGCATGTCACGAAAAGAAGTAATAAATATTGAAAAAGAATAGTAAACAAAAGGTACGGTTGTCCGTACACCACACAGGATTTGTAATATGTTAGAATTGTTTGCTTGTAGGATATCTGATAACGATTTTTTTTTAATTTTAGACACTTTTAACGATTATCTCAAATTAGTTATTTGATAATGTTATTGTTATTTTTTATGGGATAAGCCCTTATGGGACAGACGGATGACCTGATGGTAAGCAATCGGTGCCGCGCATGGACAACACCAGAGGTGTTCCAAGTGCGTTACCAGTAGTAGTAGTGCCTTAAGCTAATATAAATTAGCTTAAGGATTGTTGGGGATTCGAGGATTAAGGAAATCGGAGAAGAGGGGTAATTATGCCTATCGGAGGCCCTCATTCACACGACGAAACACACCGCAAGTGTCGTTTCACGTCGGTTTTCTGAGAGGTCGTTGTACTACTCCGGTCTAGCCGGCCCATTCAAGCCGAATCATGCCATGTGATACCGTGCACTAGCCATGTAATCCGTAATAAAGTAATAACTTGCTCTGTTTCAATATGTTTCTGTTCGTACTATGCCTCGTTTCCACTTAGCAACATAATTATGACGCGTCGTGTTGCCCCCCCCCATACCCAAACCATTATTTAAAAAAAAAACAAACATCTTGAGCATCACGTGCCTCTCACCTAATAGAAACGTGACGATAGAAAACATTTTTTAAAAATCGTTATGTTACTTGGCTCCAGTACAAATATTACACATGTTATAATGTGAACATTTATTTTTTATAGGTTACAACCCGCGCAGAAATTTCAGCGAAGAGGCCAAGAGCGTTCCTGACTTGGCAGTAAGTATATTATTGTTTTAATTGATTTAAGATTTCCACGTTGATATGCTTTTACAAAATTCCTATTGTTTTAAATAAGCAAGCACGCCTTTTAATCCCCGAAAGGGCAGGCTACTGTGAAGTGACAACTGCCACTTTTCATCAATTATAATAATTATTATGAATCCATATAAGAGGGTGAACCTGTATGTATGCACTGGGCAGTACTTCTAGACTTCCAGATTCTGCTGAGTGAGAATCCCCAATACAATAGATACTGTTAATGTTATTATTTCGTACAAAAGTAATGTAACCCAAAAAATAAAACATTGCTTAGCAGTTGTAATAGCAACTATTTGACCACTCCACTTTTAACAGTTTTCTAGTTAATTTTTCATTTGTTAAATTATTTCGTTTGTAATGTTCGTAATAATATAATATTTTACAGGCAACTTTGACAGAGGAGTCGAAGTTAGCGTATACTAGCTTGATTGAAGAACCAACTCCATCAACGTCTCTGATGACACAGATCGCTAAAGAGACCGGCGGAATCTTAAAGTCGGCAACGATCCCAAAGCCCGCCCGCACTACAATCGTACAGTTCAACAGCCGAACTGTTGGCTCTCCACACCATACCAGGTAATTTGTTGCTGCCAAAATTATACCTTAATTTCCCCTACAATCTTTGTAAAATTCTGTGTAAATTATTAATATTACAGATCCCCCATTGGCGAACGACACCCAGAGGATACCGCATTTGTAAGTTTGAAATTTATGAAACTTTATTGATAGTTTGTACAATGTTATTGAATTTTTTTTTAAATCATTTCTTTTTTACTTTAATCAGAATGTATTGCCTCTGCCTCCGCGCACGACTAAACCAAAATTAGTGGATCGGCCACGACACGTGCGGAAGTATCCACTAAAATTGGTTGACGAGCCGAAGCCTGTGACTGTACCGCAAGCGAGAGAATTAAATATTTACCAGAATACTAAATCTCCATCGAAAGACACAACAAAGCCCGAAGAAATAAAATCAGAAGATGTTGTAGACACGATTAAAGACACAAACCCATTTTTAAATGCTCCTGGCACGAGTGGTGCCAATCCGTTCGGATCATATTTAGATAATGACCACGAGGACGACGATACCGAACTGGAGCTTAATGTAGGAAGCGATACGGACAGCGAAGAAGAGACCCATACTAAATTAGCTAAAGGTAACATCTTATTTAAATAACATTTTAGCCCTTCATTGTGTCGCGGAGAACCTAACGGGTAACCGGGGCTCCGGCTCTACGTTGCAGGAGAAGGAACGGGGTGGTTTTTAGTCAGTAAGAGTCTGACACTCCCTGCCGCCTCACCCAGGCGGGAGCAGTCATATCTCCATACACAGAATAAAACCAACTTTTTATCAGTTATGTTTGTAAGTCCATTGTAATTGAAGTAAGGCTGTTACCGTACACTGCGCGCCACTCCGGTGCCTCACTACTGAGAATTATTTTAAGTTGAAGTTCATAATCAACTTCCATTCTCTATGTGGTGTTCGATTCATGAGGCATTATTGTCTCACAATCTTACCTAAGCTATGTGGATATAAAAACTCAAATGAAGGTATACTTTCAGAAAGTAAAGATCACGTCTCGGTCGAGGATCTGCTAGAGTTTGCGGACCAGAAGCCGTGTGGCCGACAACGCGGAGTGGAGTCCGACGAAGTTCGGATCATGAGCAAAGTACTCAAAGACGAGGTAAGAATACTTTATTTAACTAAATTAAAATATTTATGTACTCAATTTGCATGTTTATACAGTTGTTATATGAATTCAAGTTAAGTATGTAAATATGTATTTATTCTAACATTAACACTAATATGAAAAACTATTGCTAGTATTAACCGAAGATGAAACCAATTTATTTGACGTATAACATAAACAGCTATATTGAAATCATATTTTAATGATTATTCGTAGTAAAAAGTGTGTAAAACAGATTTTTGATTGTGATATACTAGCGAGGCATGCTTCGCATGGGTGGTAATTCCCGTTTTCCCTCGTGACGTTTTCTTTGTATTTATTTAACATTGTTCTAACAATGAGTCCTGTAATTTTGCACAACCTAGTGAGCTAAATTCATTTTTAAGGTGTACTATTCTAAAAACTTATATCTAATACTTCGGCGTTTAGTGAAGTTAATATATTATTAACTTCTGCCAACGACTTCGTCCACACGAAAAGAATATTTATCTTCCTCGAGTTTTTTTACATTTTATTAGTACTTCACGCGGTTGATGCTTGATACTCACTTTAAACCAATATTTCTAATAGCCAATTAGAGTTATGCATGCAGTTTAAAAGCAATTAACAAAATCATCAACTCATATTGTTGTAATTTAAGTTGGTTTCAGTTGTTTAAAATACTAATCTTATAACATTTATTTACTATATTAACACTGTTTTAAACCAATTACATTAACACACAGCAATATATGAAATAGTTACAATAGTGAAATTAACATACATATAATACAGATTTTCACATGGACTTACAGAAACTATATGTACAGTTAGACTTTCACAAAAACTTAAGCAAACACTTTTGACAGCTTTAAGCTCGTCCATGTAAAATTTCTTTTTAGAAACCCAATCAGTTATAGTGAGTTTAAATTAGAAAAGGTTAGAACGATTAATATTGTAAGGAATAGAATGGGGTGTACCGCTTTTGCTCACTAGATAGCGCCAGTGTGTACCTTTTGCTCGTCCAGTAGAGAATTAGCTAGTGTTACACGATTGGATGATCAATCTTTAACAGCTGTATTGATTGGCTATAATGATCTCTGGCTAGATTAACAACATTTGGTGAGCTAAAACGGTTACCCCCTATTGCTTGTTATGAGTGTGTGTGTATGTACAAAAAAGGAAGACATTGTAGGGGTCAAATATTTATAGATTTAAAACTATATTAATTTTAGTTTTAAATCGCAGTACACTGACACCAACTATTCCTACTTTGTAAAACAATGATACCATCTTTAACCTACACTGATGAATTGAATTAATCAGAATGGAAAGGAACGATTTTAATTAGCCTTTTTCCTGGGAAGATTAAAAAAAAATCCGCTAGGGGCAGCACCGGTGGGGGGTACATATGTTTTGAATTCTCTATTGACAACAACGTCGACGTGTAGAATTAAAATGGAATTAACTGAAGATGATGTACGGTTAAGCCACGACATGCAAGCCATCGTTTCAAGTCCCGGACAAGATGATCTTGCACTTTTGCAAATTTTAATTTCGCTCCAGGTACATTATCATCAGTTAATTCCATTTTAATTCTACACGTTTGACGTTGTTGTCAATAGAGAATTCAAAACATATGTACCCCCCACCGGTGCTGCCCCTAGCGGATTTTTTTTTAATCTTCCCAGGAAAAAGGCTAATTACGGGATTTTTATGGGATATGCCGCTAAACGAATAGACGGATCACCTGATGGTAAATAATTGGCGTCGCCCGCTCAAAGTGCGTTACCGGCCGTTGGGGGATTAGGAATTGGACGATTCTTGTCGACCGGTTCGACCAGGGTAAGCCTCCGGGCCTCGCTCACACGACGAAATACAACCCAAGCGTTGTTTCACGTCGTGTCGTTTACTGGGAGGCTGTGGTATTACTCCGGTCGAACCGGCCCATTTCCGGCCCGAACTTTTTGATACGGGAAATTCACGAACTGACAAAATTTACTAGCAATGTGATTATAAAACAGAGCAATTTTATGTTTGAAAGAGTGAATAAAACAAAATATGTAAGCATTATGGTTTACGTGTTTACTAAACAGCGCCATCTAGTTGTATAACCTAATAATATTAATTGTCATCAAAATCGTAAGTCCGAAAATTAACATAGTTGCTAAACTAAATGTATTGCCTTTATTTTTTTCAAATTTTGGGCATCTAGGCAGTTTAATGTCGTTGTAGTGCGTGCAGTTGATCAAATTATTTAGTAAGCAGGTATGACGATAAATATTGCTTCAGTACTGAGACATGAACTACTTTTTATGGTAGATGTATGCTGGTTTATGAAGCCATATATTTGTTTTACTATGGTTCGGCTCAGTAACCAACCAATGGATATTGTCACTGTACTGTATCAGTCTATATTTCCTTACCTGCATACCAGATAACTTGGTTTGGCTGTATCGTTAGTCTTTTTATAAGGCCTGGTTAGATTGAGATGACATTTTCTTTAATTAGTAGCCATTTTGATTTTTCTGATACGCGTTATGCATGCATCTCTTAGTCATTAACTCGACTAATTTTAATACTAATGATTGTTACTACATTTTTACGTCCTATTCTATTTTGCATGCGTTGAATGTCTACTGAAATTATTGATAGATGGAATGGTTTATTTATTTTTTAGTTTGGTATTTTCCTAAATCTTACAACTATCTTGCAAAATATTTTGAGATTAATCCGTACTTATCTTGTTGAAAACTGTGCAAAGCATAATTTTCATATTTATACTCAATTAAAACTAAGCTAAGCGCCCTATACCTCTCATTCAGGATGCATATTAAACAAAGACTATATTATTATTATCTATAATTTTAAGTTCATCCTATCTATGGACACGGAACATAGATACCTATTATGATTATACTTCGGGCGAAGTAAAGAAACGATAATTATTTATTGGCAACAATAAATTAAAAAATCACTATACTTTAGTTAATTTCATTTGACTGTATCTTCTTACTATATCTCCTGTTTGACTGAAGTAATTTTTTAGTTGAACTGTATGACCCCTATATTGTTTGATCCAAACTTTGTTTTGGTAGTTAAATTATATACTTGGGAGCAATAAACGAAGCCAGTATTGAATTTCATAATTAAAATATATATAATTTCCCTTTACAACATTTTAAATGTAACTAAAACGTCTTTTATACGACGTACCGTCTTTTACTTACTAATAAAATAGTTTTATCAGAAAATAATTATAGAAAGCGCTAGTGGTCGTTTCTTTGCTCTCAAATGTATGTCCCCTGTGAAGTAGTAAGCTTCCGCCTTACATGTTCAGCATGTTAGTTGATGTGGAATGAGTGTAATATAAGCTGTTCTTGCTCTTAGGCTAGTCAGGAGCTGTGTTTGGAGGCACTGGAGCTGAGCGGCTGGAACGTTCACAATGCTATCAAATTAGTTCGTGTCAAGGTGTCAGTCGGCACTGACGTGTCCTTCGACAAGTGCCACGAACAACTGCAGAAAACTAACGGGGATATCGTCAAAGCTGTCTCCATGATGGTCTCCCTCGATTAACTAACTTAACATAAAAGGATTTCAACAGGAAATCATGGAAATATTAAATGAATTAAATGTAAATCGAGAAAATTTGTGTCTTTTATTTTATTTTTGCCTTTTTTCCTATTAAGGTCGGGGTACAAGGTGATATATACTTTTATTTATTTTTTTACTTCAAGGAGGCATCATTCACAATTCAAATTAGTTAAAGTTATCCTTGACGATGCAGACTGAGACAGACCAGTAGTACTGAATTGCTGTTTAAAATTTTTTCTTTAATTTGTTGTTTAAATATAAGACACAGACACCTACGATTTGTTGTCATGATGTTGTACAATTGTATTTAATGAAATGTAACTTACGCAATAAAGCGATCTAAAAGAAAAGAACTTGTTCATTTAGGCATTTTCTTTTATACTCCGATCCTTTGCCACATTTGACAGGAACTAACTGACAGACTATTATATAGTTTTGTGATACATCAAGATCTTAGGATACGCTGGTCGTTGATCCTCTGGAGCGTCGAGGAAGGAACTGAAAATTACTTCTCTTTCGTCGCCCTAAATACTTGAATTTAAATTGGTTTATTGGTAAGATTTCGATTATTTTTCTTTAGACAATGTGACATGAAGACATTATTACTGCAACGTTAAGCGGATGACCATCGCGGGCAAATGGTTTTAAGCACACGATTTGAGTCGTTATCTACCGCACAATGTTTAGCGGTTTCGAGGACCGCTCGAAACTTTGTTATTAACCTACTTTTGACATGTACCTATTGTGTCTAACGACAATTATGCCTATTATGTTATGTATGATAAAATTTAATGTGTTTGCACTTTTTGTGTGTTAAATCACCAAAGCAATCCGATCTTGCGCCACTACTGCCGCCGCGCGCGCCGAGGCCATCTAAGTCTGAGAAGCCTGGACGACCCTTTTTCCCCAAACCCGCGCGTGCAATTCTAGAGCGCCTACATCTGGACAAACCATCGAAGCCGTCTAAGGGAAAAGGGACCGTAGGAAAAAAATCTACCCCTAAAAACGTTGAAGAAAAAGCATCGGACGAACCAGGTAAGAATAAAATAGATTCCTTTTTTTCAGGCGGGGAAATCATCTAAGACTTTTCCCGCCTTGGGTGAGGCGAGAGAGTGTCGGACTCTTACTGACTAAAACCCACCTCGTTCTTACTCTTACTTGAGCCGGAGCCCCGGTAACCCTTATGGTTTCTCGCAGTCACAGCATAAAAGTGATTTCTACCTACAAGACCTGGGTACTTAATAATAATTTTAAGTGTGCTCTTTTTAGCACTAGTTCTGTAAACCAAATTCATTTCTACATTATTTGTGCTCCAAATAATTACAAGATTGTCTATTACCAAATTTATTACATTTTACCGAGCTATCAGATTATACTGTAACCACTAAACAATTCATGTGGAAATACTACACTAGTGCTATTATTCTATGAATTCCACCAGAATCTAAATTTAATGCTATTTTGTATAATGAAATACAAAACAGTGTTTTATTACAAGCATTTGTAAAAAAAATATTGTATAATTTCAGGTCCGATGATATTCGTGAAGGTTGACAAGGAGGATACTCCAGGGCTTATGCTTAAGTGCCACCCCGGCACAAAAGCCTCGACGATCACCGAGATTTGCATGCAAATAGCTGAAAAGGTAACTTTACCCTTTACTTGTTGTTACTTATTGTTTACTATAGTGTGTGTAATGTGTAAGACTGCCTCGTTGGCCGAGTGGTCGCAATTGCGACTGCCGGGCAAGGGGTCTCGGGTTCGATTCCCGGGTCGGGCAAAGTATTACTGGGTTTTTTAAAAATTCTCAGTAGTAGCACGGAGTCTGGAACTGTGCCCGGTATTATGGCAATAGGCTCACCACCTATTACATGGGACTCATAACATAAATAGTGAAAAGTGGGTGTCCCTTCGAGGATAAAAGGCGTGATGTTATGTGTATTGTGTATTCCACGGTCGTCACAGTGACTGGATAACTGGCCGTTGTGCAACACGTCGCGTTTTCGATTTTCGCACAGAATAACTATTTTTGTAATTCACAAACACTCGTTACGGGCTGTGACGTGTACCTATGTCAAATTGTATGCTTGTGGTACGCACTCACGGCACAGGAGAAAGTCATACCATAGTGGAACGTTGTAAAACAGTTTTCAGCTTCATCGATCATATATGTTTATAGACGATATCATTTGATTTGATAATATTCGATTAAAAGTAACGATTTTAGTATTTTTAGACAATATTAATTTGTTGCAGGTGAACGATGTTCCATTGCCACCTCGCAATGCGCATTTAACGGAGAAAAAACCTGAGCGCCCGGTACAACCGAAGCCTCGGTTACCTGGGACTGATGAAAGACAAAATGTTCCAAGTGCAACTAAAAAAGAACCACCATATATGACAGTTGCTGGACCTTCAAACTACGAGCGATACCCTGATGAACTACCTGACGATGAGGAGGATGAAATTTTCTCCCTTGTTTACTTCGAAGAACCTGAAGCAGACTGCCATGACGGAAACGTCTTAGAGAAGGTAAATTTTTCAATGAGATTGTAATTTGGTAAATCTTATAGTCCTAAAATTTCGACAGCAAATAAGCGGACTGTTCAATGGAGATTTTGCAGTTAGTGGTAATAATATGCCAAACACAAAGCACAGTTTCTTTTGGAGTGTAAACTTACAATGTTATGGTCAAGTTAACTATTTAATCGTTTTTGTTTTCATGTTATTCATGCAACATCAGCCTTGAGCAGTTAATTTCAATTATTATTACGTATAATATTCATTTTATTCTTTACTTTCTTTTTAAATAAATTCGTTTTTTACCATCAACGGTCTTCGTTTTTGGGAAGCGTGTTCTTTACACTCTGTATATGAACTAGTACTTACGTGTGCCCCAAATACTTGTTTTGTAAGCGTAAAATAAATAAGTAACAGTAATAAATTTCATCCATACTTTCATTCTTTCTAGCATCATGTCAAAAACAATTACCATACCAAGCTAACATAATTGTACTACAATTTTCAGATCTCTGAATCGGACTGCTTACAAGCACTATAGCTCAGCAGCTGGGGCATGCCGGCCGCCGTCAAGATCTTGAAGAACAAAACAACGACTAACACAAATGTTTCTCTACATAAACGTCATAAAAGTATCGAAAGATATTTTGGCACTCATATCGTATCAAGGCTGAGAAAACTCTAACGAAAGTCTGAGGTAACATAAGTCTTTAAATTAATAAAAAAGAATAAAGAACTCGGCACGGTATTACCGCGCTGAGTTCATTTTTGTAATATCTCAGTGTACTGTGCACGGTATTACCGCGCCGAGTGCAGTGAGATATTATAAATTTTATTCTTTTTCAATTCTCACCTAGTCGTCATATCGTCAAAGCAACATTATCCTTTATGGAAGTATAATTTTAATATTGAGCTTAATTTCAGTCAGATAGTGTAATTTAAAAAAAATAGGTGGATCCGATAATAATATTGATTAATTTGAGTTACTCAAATTTCAATCCCTAGATAATCTTGGAGGATATTGTTTGTAATGTCTTCGATATAATTTTGATTGTAGACTATTAACATTTTATTCATATGTTTCCTGTTTTGTTTTGCTACGGTCACTGTTATCTTTATGGTATGACATGAAATTATGTTCATTTGGCAACTGCAGTCTTCTTAAATAGTTCCCCTTTTGTGCCTTCAGCGAAGTGCGGCTATTAAAATGAATAGTCGCTAACCACCGTTAACCTAAAGATACATGCTTTACAGTTTTACTAAATATCACAGCACAGATGTTTTTTGACTCTTTTATTTTGGGTTTAAAATAAACAAATACATCTTAAACTTAAAATATATCGCAAAACCTAGTATTCAAGTTGTAAGTTACGTTGTCTGCAGTTTTTAAATAAATGTTTTACGAATATTTTATGCCACATTGTTGAGATAACATATTTTCCGTAGAAGGTGCCCTGTTAAGCACTGATCTCATACTAAATTTGGATACAAAGACGGATATGACGAAGGTAGAGAATAATATTAGTATTGTTCCTAAAATAAGTCACCTTTCTTCATCTCCGGCTTACCTTAATTGGTTGACTGGAGTGATCGAACACGAGATATTTGTGTCTCATCTCTGGCTTGCCTTCACTGGCCGGTTCAGTCAGATAAATGTGTTCAATCATCACAGATGGGGCCCACTAGGGCATTGAGTTAAACCTATAGAGAAACAATCTCCATTACCGCGCATTAAAAAAAATAAAACCACTTTTTTACTTACAAAGACGTAGCTTTAAAACCACTAGATATACCAAAGAAACTTTTATCTCACTCACTCAAGTCGCAACAACAATGACCACTAAGATTAGACAGAAATTAACCTTAAAATAGTATTACCTTTTTTTAAATTCTATTATAATATCTGCTAATATAAATTTATTATCAGTATGACTAATGTCGTAAGGCTTGTCGCTTATTTGTACGGCTATTCGACTCTATATGTCTATCTCTATGCACTAGGGTCACTGTCTAGCTAGGCCTACTTACACCCGTAAGGGTTACCGTAGATCTAGCTTGAAGAAGGAGTAGGAACGGGGTGGTTTTAGTCAGTAAGAGTCTGACACTCCCTCTAACGTCACACAGTGCGAGAGGAGTCATTTGATGATTTTGCCCCCCTTTTAAAAACATCAACACTCCAAAGGGCTTAATACAAGTTTATTTTGCGTTTAAAGTAATCGGCACGTGAACGCGTTCGGCGCTCTGATTGGCCGGTTCATTGAAGCCGACCAATCAGAACGCCGAAACCGTTTCGATTACTTTGAACGTAAAAAAGGTCGTATTATGGCTTTGTTTGGACTGATTGGGCGTGAAAAATAAGGACTAGTAGGCCAGTGATGCAGGTTGCAAATGATCTGAGCTGAAAGTCCACGGTAGTTTCTTCAAGATTCGGTCAATTTTCGCTGACCGTTTTAAACGTCTATTGGGTACCCTTGATTGGGCTGCCCAATACAGTTTGCCTTGTCTTATACGATATGATATGACGTGCCATTGGATTTGGATATTAAACTCTATTATGACTCTCTAACGATGCTACGGAAACCCGTAGGGTCGTGCAATCATGATTGTGACAATAGTACTGTAACATTACAGTACTAAAGTTGGTACAAGTTTAAGACATTAGTATTTTCAATGCTCTTGTCTAAAACATGATACCGACTACCCTATCTTGACAATTCCAGACATGACCATTAAATTATTCCCTATATGGGATAGAACTAGGTTGTAAGTTAATGCGCTTTATAATGTGAACAATATGACGAAGTAAAGTAAAAATATACGTCTCGAATTATGTATATTATATTCTATTGTAAATTGGTGGACAAATAATTAAGCCATCCTTCTGTTGTTATTAGAATAATGCTTCGAGTTGCTACAAATTGAATAAAGCACATTTATTTTGCTTGTATTAGCTTTTTAATGGCGACGGTGCGTCGTCCTTAGTAGTTGGCTGGCTAGCACTTAATCATTGTTAACCTAGGAGGCATATTTATCTAGGTTTTGGAAGCTTGCAAATTAGAGTGAGTACTGCACGAGCGACTCCTCTTTTGTTGCAGATATTTACTTAATTGTTAGACTAGTAGGAAATAGTTTGATTTCCTATTAGTCAGGAATATTATTCGTTTGTTTGCAAAAACATGTGTGGTATATGAAATTTAAATTTTAAGAATGGATGGCTTACTTTTTTGTTCACCGGTCTTGGAACGGTGTCTTACTATTTTTTTTTTCTTAATGTAGTATGTATAGTAATACATATCATAGTGTGTCCACATCTCTATGTACGTCAGATCTGGACGCACCTTTGGATTCGTATTCTTTTTTATGTGAACATGAAATAACGTTTTACTTCTTCAAAAATTATGCCTTGATCTGAAGCGTTAGATGAATTTCATAACCTAAATAGTAAATTACTGACTATTGTTTTCTTATATTACTGGCGTGTTAATAGTTTAGTTTATTCACACTAGACACGATCAATACAATATCGCAGAAGTAACGCAGAAGAACACGTCTCACTTAGCCCGCCACAACCTCCCAAAACCGCCGCAACTCCTGTAAGCCAGTATCTACAGTAGATACAACCATAAAAACACCGCGCGACATGAATAGCTGTCTTGGTTCCTGTAACGAAGTGAATCAGAAGATTTAATATTAATCTATGTACTAATTCTTTTATCGATCATAATACTAGATACTAGCTTCTACCAGCGGCTTCGCCCGCATTCCAGTGGTGTAAACAGTAGCCTATGTGTTATTCCAGAGCATAATCTTTTCCAAATTTCATCTCAATTCCGTTAGCCATTTTGACGTGAAAGAGTAGCAAACACACACACACACATACACACACACATATCTTCACAAACTTTCGCTTTTCTAATATTAGTACGATTAAACGTGTTAAATAATCCATCTAACCCGGTTTTGTAAACATTTTTTTTGCATCTAATGTTGTAAACGGAGTTTGATTTAGGGCCGATTTTTCAATCATCAGTTAATTCTGAACTGTAGAATAAAATTGACAATTAACAATTTTTAGTATAGTCAAAGTGATTCCTCAGTTACAAGTCATTCATCTTACGTCGGAAAAAATAGCTTGATAAGAAACACAGAGACCAACCAGAGGTTACATTGTACTTGTATATCCATTCTTGTCACTTCAACATATTTCTTTGCCTCAAAAGTACTTAGTATAACGTTATTAATGGATTACCTATAAATATCTACAATCTCCAACAATTATTGTTACGTGTAGCGAAAACATCTGAAAATAACATATAGATCTTGTCACGAATGTTGTACCAACTTCTGTTAGGGAGGGCAGACGGTAGTAGCTACATGTTAAATGCGGTGAAATTCAGTTAGAGCTCAGTGCAGACCCTAGCCTAGTCGCGAAAAGGCATAAGATAACGAGACCAATATCGACAAAAAATAAATCAGAAAGATCATTAAAATGTTTGCAGACGAAAGGTACATACATCATGGTATAACGGTAAGTATGATAAAAGAAGAAGTAAGTAAGTTAGATTGAATGCGTGAGAATGCTTGAGGAAAGTGGTGAATGTTGATGAAGCGAAAGAGGTATGCAAGAATCGTGTGGTTGACCTCCATTGCCTTTGTTCACCCTAGTGGGAGATAAGTATACCGATATATCGTGTAAGTGTATATTGTGTACATATTATATACATATATCACATCACACAAATCACATCAACAGCCTTTAAACTTCTTCTCACACGGAGAAGGTTTGAGCATTAATCACCACGCTTGCTCATTGCGGGCATACATATATACTATGTACATATTATGTACTTGTAGTCAAAAAGTCATATATCTCTTATCAAATGGCAAGTTTTTCAAGACTAGCGTGAATTTATCGGGTGTTTATTACTGAGTTGAAACTGAAAGTCTGTATAAATATGTAGCGAGGCATGTGAAACCCTCTTTAACAAAATGCGATGGAAAATATAATTGTTGGTGATTGACGGATGTAAAGAACAGACAGTGCTAAATAAATGTTTTTCAGCTCTTTCTTTCTTTCTTACAACTAATATCTAGTACGGTATAGTTGACAAGTTAGAAAGAAATAAATAAAAATCATTTATTACGCCACGACACACAACAAGAATACAAGTACACATAGAAAATGTATTAAGTTATGTTTGAAACACATACCTGCATAAAAAACATATATTGATTACATTTTGAACATTATCATCATACTTCATCCGCGTAGAATATGAATTTTAGAACACAACTATTTTTGTTTCAAGTTTTTAAAATAAAAGTAGCCTATGTTACTCCTTAGTGCATCAGCTACCTGGCAATGAAAGTTGCGAAATCGGTCCAGCCATTCCAGATATATTTCCAGTATAAACAGATAAACAAAATTTGTAAAAAATCTTATTTTAATATGTGTATCGTATGTATATTCATTATGCATGTAGTAAAGAGCAGTTGTTTTAATATTACAAACAGATAATCCATATTTATTTGTCTGTATAG